AACCATTTCCGGGAATTGGCTGGAAACGGAATGATGGAGGCTGTGGCCAAGTCTCGTGCGTGCCATCTTACACTCAATTGATTTAATGGTCCCAGAGAGTGGAGTCCTGCCGAAGGATTTTCCAGGGAGCACTGCTCACATGCTGTCCCCGCTCGTTAAGCCGTGCGATTGTCCTCGTTTTATGCGTGTCACATAATAAATCTCATTTGATTTGTTTACTTCCCATTACTCCTTGGACTTGGACCGGACTGAGGATGCTGCTTAGGATCTGTCGCCCATTGTCCTTTGTGCCTGTCATTAAGCATGGGTCATTGTTTTTGTGGCCTCAGCATCCGGCCAGGCTTCCTTCGCCCTCCTCTCCCCTCTTGGCCTAATTCGATTGGCCTCCGTTTAAGTGCCGCCGTTTGTTCGCTTACGGCTGGCAATTTAATTAATAATCAAATTACGCATACGCCACGTGACTCGTTGCCTTCAATTTTAATGCAATTCTCTACAGATATGTCGTAGATAGCCATGTTTAATAAATACCCGCCACGCCGAACTTGTTTCATTTAATTAAAGTCGTCTAGAAATCCAATTAGGCCCGATTATGGCGCGATCTGAGAGGATAATGCTCCTGGAATGGTTTTTTCCTCCCTAGTATTGACAAATAAAAACCAAAACACTTGCAGTAATTAAATGAATTAGCTACTGGCATTTAAAAAATGTTTTTTTTGTTTAAGCTGTCTAAAAAAATATATTTAGTTTTACAAAATATTAAAGTTAAGTTAAGTTTTAAGATCATTTGCGATTGTGCGACCACCAGTTTTAATATATGCAATAGAGATATCACCTAATCGATGTGGTTAACATAAGAAGCTGACGCAGGCATATTGCCCCAACAGATATTTTAATTCAACCCAATAAATTGCTTGAATATTTGGGAGACATTAGCCCTGACCACGCCCACACATCGTCTTGGGAAAACGATAACCATAAATGTTAACAAGAAGCTATCGGCCCACAAAACACAGAACTTAATGATGCCCAACAAGGGGCAGCCACTCGAGCCGAAAGTTGTGGGCCAGGACATTTAGCATGTGCCGGTGACAGGTGCTAAGGTGTCTGCAGGATTCGAATGCCATTTCTATCTCTGGCCATGGAATTAATTAGAAAACTGCGGTCAGGGTACGGGGCTTTCTCTTCCGTGTCCTTTAGAACATTCGGCAGCAAATTTAATTTGCGGTTCCCTCAGCAGGCGCAAGGACACACATAGCCAGGCATTTAAATTTGCTGGTGAAAATCTCAGCAAATTCCCTGATTAAATCACATCCTTTTTTGGGGGCGAGAGCACTGTGATTGATTAACGTGTGTGTCGAATCGAAAGTGTTGGGCACAAAGTAAGTGCAGACATGTATCCTTATCCTTGAGCAGCAACAAAAGTCAAGCTACGTCTCATTGCCAGCCTTTTGGCAAATGACTGATTGTCCTTGGCCCTCGTCTATAGCCAGGATCCCCTTTTTATATCCATAACTGAGCAGCCGGGCGACACGTTTGCCCATGAAAAATCGTTCCACCGAATCTTATTATAAAACATGTGCTTAAGTAATAGCATCCGAAGTAAAGTGTTTGACTGCGCTCTGCCTCGTGTAACAGATTGCCAATCCACTCCTGCAAACGGGGTTAAGATTAATTTCTTTGCACTTTGATGGGTGATGTCCTGGCGCTGAGTTGATGGAAATCAAAATTGAAACGGGGAGAAGTCTGTGTGCCTTGAGCCTGCCAAGGACAAGGTTTCAAGTCTTATTGATTTTTTACAAGTAAGAGAGCTGAGATAATTTTTATAGGGTAAAAATACAAAATAATGGAGGTCCATTTAAAATCAATATAATTAATACAAGTATCCACATTTAAGAAAAATGCAAGGGTATTAACATCTAGATAGTTTTTTGTGTTTATATCTAATGCAAATTAATGCATGATTTATATAATATATTTCAAACAAAGCATTTTTCAGCAAAATCATATAAAATTTACACAGAAAAAATCGGCTTACCTCCCAGATCTCATCGTCCTATTGTTATCAATCGCTTTGGCATTTGTGTGTGTTACACTACTCAATCAACCCCTCCAGCCGTACAGTGACTATCAAAAGTATGCGCATAACTCAGACGCCGTCATTTGCATGCTTTGAGTGTTCACAAATGGGATTCGGACTTGGATTTTTCCGCATTGCATAAATTCCCTATGCGCCAGCTTGACGAGGGAAAACTTTTTGCAACATTTTATCAGATTATGAAACACACAAAATGCAACTTACCGTTCTGGGGATATAAGAAGAAAGAAAAATAGAACTCGAATGTGTTCTTACCTTGCCCACATATTTTGCAAAGTAAGCGGAAACATTAAAATTGTATTTGTGAGCCCCAACCGCGGGAGTTGCGGGGCTTGGAAACTAAAGCACAACAATTGTGAATCCTGGAGCGCAACATAAAAGGTGCACAAGCAAAAAGGCTACTGAAAATTACTAAAGCTTGAGAGGAAACATAAAATAAAATCAAATTTTTGTAATAACTTTTGACTGTATAAGTTCTGACACTAATCTTTTTTGCAAAACATTTAATTTCGATTATTTCTGGGTCTTATTTTTAAAACGATTTAAACATTAGTTTTTATAGCATAATTTATTTATATATTTAGATTACATAAAAATAATATAGCTTTAAATGAATATTTAAACGAAATCCAAACAAAAAATATTTTATTAGGATTTTTAATGCCTTTTTTACTAAAGGCGATTAAAAGTTTTTAATTAGTTAGCTTTTAAAATTCAAATGGAAGCTAATAGCATGAAGTTATGGATTTTTCCGCTTAACCGAAATGTTTTTCGGCTTATATTTTTTCATGGAGCAGAAAATAACACAGGTGGTAAAACAAACAATCTGCACGCGAAAATCGCATCAAAAATTTGTAAAGGACAAGAAAAGGTAGCCCAAAAAAATTAAAGCATGCTATGAAGGGCACAAAAATGCTTATATTTCGTGATGGCCCGATCGGTGACCCCAATTGGCCGGTTATCCTTATCAATCTCTATTAAACAACGCTCTGGAAAACAGCATTTGAATTCGAACTCGGACACTTGCGGTGTTGAAGATGCCGACTCTTGTCTGCGGCGTCGGGCAAAAAGCCATGACAAATGGCCAACAGGATGCATATTTATGATTGCATCCACACACACACACAGGCACACACACTCCTCTTGAACTGTTGACCACACTCAAGGGCAGGCTAAAATGCTGCTGCTGTTGTTGCAGCCACTTTGGCAGTACTCGGGTAAAATGCCAGCACAAACTTTATACGCACGTAGTCAATTACTCACACCAAGTTGGCTGGAAAAGCAGCACCAACCAATCGCCCAACCACCCACTCACACGTGCTTGCATAGGATACACACATTTGTATACCGACGTGTATTGTCATTCTCCATTTTGGCAGCTCGAAAAAAGTAAACAGAACGGAGCAGATAAATTAAACCCATCGAATCTGATGTGGCCATGTCAGTCTATTCAACCGGCAAATCTATATATTTTCAGAATTATCATAGCACTTTCTCCTGATTTCCATAATCTTTTGCTGTACAACACTAAAATATTCCTGACATTTCACTTGTTTTTTCTTCGATGTTCAATCTTTTAAAGGAAATCATAGATTTAAATATTTAAAAAAAAATGTAGAAATTTTGTGAATGTTTAAATAAGGTTCCAAATAACAAAACTGTAATGAATCGAAAAATATATTAATAATTATATTATTTTCAAATAAGTAGTTATATAGGAATATAAGTATTGTTGAAATAAGGCTTTAACTCGTAATTTCCTGGACAGCAGCAACAATTGAAATGCACTTTTAACGAGTATTTCAACCGCCTCTCCCACATCCCCAAATTTAAATTCGATTTACATGTATTCCCCAAAGAACAAACAAGAACAACTCAATAAATATTGCCCAGGACATAAAATTGAAAGTTTTGCCTAAGGACATAAACCAACAAAACTCTTAACAGGCCGCACGCCCATCCTCATCCTCTTATTGTCCTTCGATCTGAGCTTTGTTCGCTCTTTGTCTTAATTTCTTAAAAGGCCGAGACAATTTCAATTGGAATTTATTTGGCATTGTGGTCGGCACAGGAAAAGGAAAACAGGGAGCGATGCAGAGATGTCATGAGTTACTGTTAATTAGAAAATTGTTATTCAAAGGGTTGGAGTCTGGTTTCAAGGCTTAAAGTGTGAATGCGGGTTGGGAGTAGATTGGAAAAGTTTAAGGTTTATCTGTCAATTGAAAAATAAAATTATTTGTTATTGTGCAAAATATCTAGCATATTTTGTTAAAATTTATTTTCCGTATTACATAAAGAATACAAGAAAGAAATAAAATGAAAACCCTAGTTCTGAAGTCGTTTGAACCTACTATATATCAGAACATACCCTTATATTTTTAAAAACAACGAACTGATGTTTTTCCTTACTATAGAAATTCGTCGGCCGATCCGTCCCATTCCAACTTATATACATATACTATCTGCAATAGAAAGATTTTTGAGAAAACCTTATTCAGATACCTTAAAATTAAAAAACTAAACGTATAGTTTTATTTCAGTCAAAAGATGGACTGAAATAAAAATTCGCTCTGCAAGGGTATACAAAGGGAAAAATGAACTTGAACGCAAAAAATAACTTGAATAACTACATTGAACCCTTTCTTAAATATACTTGCGCTGCGACACCATTACAATAATCTGCCGGTTTAGTCCCAAATCTCTAGATCCTATAGCTTCTGAAATCCTTACGTTCATAGGAACTTGACTTATGATCCGGGTCAATTATAATTCATCTTCTTTATTAAGTCAAAAATATTTATCAGACCTTTAACATAGTTTTTAATTAGTTTTTATTCTGTGAATAATGCGGATAAATATCGTCCACCTGTGGATTCTATCAATAAGGAATATTACCTCTCCACAGTTAATTCAATAGATAAAGCAACAGTTATTTATTTCTTGATAGAAAAATAAAATTATTAATACATAAACATTATACATATATACGTTCCTGACAATGGCCCAAATTTAGGGGCCTAGAAGGCCTACCAAAATGGTGTTTTACAATTATATCGCTTACGCCCTAGACGTCTCTTCAGGCTCAGCTTAAATGGTAGAAGCGAGGTGCTCGACTGTCCCACGAAAAGGGTCTTCCCTTAGCTTAGCTCTGAATGTAACCAAAACCTGATTTGCTTAATACATTTCGCTGTTATTTCCACATCTTCAAATACTCAAAATGCGGCAGGCGATTCAAGAAGACGATTGTAGTTTACAATTACAATAACAACTACGTAGAGGTAAATGCTAAATAATTAATAATATTTTATCATTTAAGCTATGTGCTGTACTGTTTTGTTTTTGTCGCTGTAGTGCTCCCTTTTGAATGGATATTCCCAGGGAATTAGTCATAAATAGAAGCCCCGTCAACGTATCCCATCGTTCGTAAATGATATAACCATATCTGGACTGTGTTTTAGTTTTGGTCGAACAGTCGGCGAGACTGCCTTTCACCCCAAGCTTAACTTATATGTATCTAGTAGACAACGGGATTCGGATCGCGTGGCTTGCGTGAATACTTCAGACCCAGATCGTCGGCGATCTCGTCTATCGCCTCCAGAGCAAAGTCCAGCTGCTCTTTGGTGTGGGCGGCTGATAGGCAGAAGCGTATGCGTCCCTCCATAATGGGCGTGGCTGGAAATCCAGCACCCACTGCGGCAATGTGGCGGGTCGTCAAGGTACGAACCACAGCGCTAAAAAGAACAAGAACACGATTAGCACATGTAAAGCAATAGATATAAGGATTATTTAGCATTCAGTATTTACATTTCGTTTACTGCAGCATCTGCAGTTATATGAAATTTTAATTGATCAAAAACGATTATTTCAGTGCAGAGATCTTAGGTTCATTTAGCCCTTAAACTTACCCAATCTTGGAAAAGAGGTAGACCAGCATGGGCACCACCGGCGAGTCCTCGTGACCGTATGTGATTACTCCGAGCTGAGCCAAACGTCGGCGGAAGTAACGCGTGTTCCTGGCCAGCTGGTGGATTTTCTTGCGGCCGATTTCGGTACCATCTTCACCCATAATGGTCTTCATGGAAGTCAGAATCTGTTGGGCGATTGGAGGCGAAATGGATGCAGCATAGCAATGGGCGTGACTGTTGGTGCGAAGGAAGTCGATCAGTTTCTAAGAGAGGGTAAATAATTATGATTAGCAAGGAATATACAAAAAGCTTAAGTATATAACCGCACCTTTGATCCAGCAAGGTAACCACCAGCACTGCCGAAACTCTTGGTAAATGTGCCCATCAAGATGTCCACCTCCTTGGGATCCACATTGAAGTAGTCTGTAACACCTCGTCCACGAGAACCCATGGCTCCGACGCTGTGAGCTTCATCCAGATACAAATATGCCTTATATTTCTTTTTAAGAGCAATAATTTCGGGCAATCGGACAATGGAACCTTCCATACTAAATATGCCCTCGACCAGGATCAGCACTTTGTCCCATGGCTGACCGCCCTTTTTAGGATTTCCATAGCAAATGCCCTGGCGAAGGACTCGCTCCAGATCCCGCATGTTGTTGTGCTTGAACACCTTGGTCGTGGCTCCGGACAACCGCAATCCCAGGATGATGGAGGCATGGTTCTTCTCGTCACTGATAACCAGGCTGTTGGGTCCGATAAGAGAGGGAAGGTTCAATGCATTTGTGGCGAAGCCCATTCCAAAGACAATGGCATCCTCCACACCAAAGTATCTGGCTGTTTGGGCTTCCAGTTCCTGAAGCTGCTCGTTGTCACCCAGCTCACAGCGGGAACTGCAGTAGGCCAACCCAGACTCCTGAGCACTTTCCTCCGAATCATCTGCACATCGTCCAGTAGCGGCTGCAAATCCCAGGTAATTGTAGGATCCCAAGTTCAAGCAGCGCGTCTCCGTTCCGGTGAACTTAAAACTCCAGCCATAATCATCGGTCACGCGATCCTTCAGGGTGAGCTCCTCGCCCGGAACACTGCAAATGGGTCGGTTCCAGCAATCTTTGATCCTTCGGTAAACATATCTCGAGTAGAAGCTCTCGAAGGCATCGTACAGCTTCACATAACCCTCACGACCCTTCTCGGTGGCCACTTTGGGCACGAAGAGCAGCTGGTTGATGTAGCCCAGGATCATTAGGAGGTAAAATCCCAGGTACGTAAGGCAGGCCGTGTGCAGAGGAACCTCCTCGAAGGAGGTCTTCTGGAAGTGCTCCTGTTCCGGCGAGAGTTTGCCCTCTGCCTGGTTGGGCTTGGATTCCGACAGAACGGAGGCATGTCCATTGGAGATCGACTTCTTTTCCGGATGGTAGTTAATCAAGCTGGGGCTCTGTGAAAAGCGAGAGATCAATGATTAGTGACTGGTTATCGCTTATTGTTATTATTGGTATTGCTCGGAATCTACATAGCAATCATTAAAAATCACTTATCAGAGGGCAGATAAACGCCGATGAAAGAGGGATCGGCCGAGGGAACGGTTTTACCAAGATTTACTCAATTAAAAGGACAAATATTATTATTTGATAAATTTGTATTTTTTCAATTTAATAAATATTACTTAAATATTGCTTAAGGAAATTCTATGAAGACAATCTTCAATAAGAATCTAGTTAAAATGTTTTTCGTGAACGATATCTGAGCGTGATTTTGTAGTCGATCTTAACTTGCTTCCCTCTCTGTGCGTTCAGTCAATTCAGCAGCCAATTAACATTAAACCATATATGCATGGTACGTATATAGTCACACGACATCTGAGCGATGAACAATTTGCTTTACCGCTCACATGAGCCGACTTCGACATGAAGTCACAGGCAGTGGAACAGAGGCAGAAGACCAGTGGATGAAAGAGAGGGAAGTCTGGGGAAGCCGTACATGTTGGAAACAATTGCTCAACTTGGCACACTTCAACCTCGCTGTATAACAAATAGAGCGGCATAATTAACTTATTTATTTAAGTGTACACACCAATTGCTTATTGATTTTGCAGGCCAAAGGATCCAATAGACTAGCCCCCATTAATTGAGCAATTCGCGTTGCAGATACTATATGTAGCAGTATATACACAATTTTAATCGTATAACAATAACGAGTCGGCGACAATAATATTTCGTGTTTATTATCATTTGCCACCGGGCTTGTTTACTAAATATAGAGAGATAGAGTGAGGGGAGGAGGCCAAGATCAAGTGGGTTACGCGCTGCTGGGTGTTTTAATGGACTGGCTGGGTTAGGGTATATCGACGAACCCGAAGCGGGCAGACTAAATAGATAAAAATCGAAACCGAGTTGAGTAAATATATAAAAAATGTGTAATACTAATTACGCGATTGAGTGGGCGCAACAAAAGGACAGGAAGGAAGCAAGCAAAGGGGTTGAGAACTAGATAATGGCTTCCACATGTTGCGGATCCATCGAATCCAAGATATCGCCTGAAAATAGACCAGCGCATGGCAAACGTATCTTACGACTTTCATGGGGATTCCAAAGAAGTATTACGTGTGAGTCATTAGCTTATTGGATTGCACCGTTTTGTTTCCATACATTAAAAAAAAAGTCTCTCCTTAACTCATTTTATTCAAGTCATTATCTTGATAAGCACGGATATTATAATCTATGTAGGCTGATAAAAGTTACCTATGCGTTCCAAACACGCGCAGACATTCTTATACTGATAAATCTAATAAATCTTTTAAATTCCTAATCAAATTGACTGTGAATGCGGTTAGAAAACTATAGTTTTGTTTCTTAATATAATAAGACACATCTTTAATAACCATAACATACCAATGAGGTAACTAAAAACGACTTCGTACACAACTTGTAAGGTCATCTTATTCATTAAATACACTAAGGAATTAATTCTGCAGAAAAGAGCTTACTGATTTTTAAAGAATATAAACAATTGTAAATAATGGATTATTTGTTTGCTTTAACACTTATTGAAAGTGTGATTTCACAACATTCTGATCTAGTTTTCATGATAACGTATAATGTTATTAGAAAATAACTCTGTAAAAATGGTATAATTGCCATTTTTATGGAAAATCTTTTAACTATACCTTCTAAAAGTTTTCTTCGGCACCCCCATACATTTTTAATCTCCAGAAAATGGCCAACCAAAAATCTTATCACTGACAAATCAACGCCCGCCCGAATAATTTTGCCTTCGGCGATTGTGGAAACATTATGATTCACCACTGAGTCGCATTCTGCGAGGCTTTACGTAAAAGATTGGTTGGAATAGGCCTGATAAGACGGGCCGGGCATGGCATGACAATATGTGTACTACCAGACGGCGGTGTATCGAGAATTAAGGGGCGCTCTCCACAAACAATGTGCACCCATACTGTATTTTGGGTTTTTGGGGTCGGACAACCTGAGGGAAAATTACGATCGAGTACAGGAGTGCCAGAAAAGTGACAATGACTAGATTACACCAGTGCATATGGCTAGAAAGGCTGATATCTATACAAAATATTTACATATACATATTTCATAATTCAACATTAAATCTCCTATTATTCTTTTTATAAATTCATTGCTTCTTATTCTGGAATTTGATGTTGTTGATAATTGAAATTATTCAAATATGTTGGAATTAAAATTAAAGAATATGTACTATTTGTGTATAAGTAACGATATTTAAAAAAAAATTGAATGAAGCCTTGCGGAATATTTTGTTGAAAAATAAAAATGTTTCCTGAGCTTAAAGCAAGTATATATAACGGTTATTTCTCCTGAATTTAAATAAGACTCAATAAAAAGCTAAGAAAAAGTAGACAAAATATTCCAATTGGACAGCACTGGCGGCAAAAAGGATAACACTGCAGTGGAGTAAAAACAGCTGGGGGCTGACCCAGAAAAAAGCCGAGAAAATTCGCCCCCGAAAGGTAAGGAAAAATAGGCGAAACTCTCCAGCTGACGCACCCTCTCTCTCTCACTCACAGCCCCACAAAATCAATGAGTAGCCGGCTGAAAGAGCGAGCGAGAGAGCGAAACGGAACCACATTTTTCGGCCAATTTTAATGGCTTTTTAGCTCGTGTTTTGGTTTTGACCAGGTTTGGATTTTCTTCATACACGGCGCGATAATGCTGTGCTCACCTTGGCGTCATTTGTCGGTTTGGAATGGCAGCGTCGCGTGCGAATTTCAGTGTATGCGGGTGCCGAGAACTTGCGCTGGCTGAGAAGTTCCTGTTTTTCCGGAGGACTGAAGTTCGCCGCCCCATTTCCAATGCCGTTGGCCCCCGCCACCCTTCCATTTCCGTTTGTCGTCGCGTAGCTCTGCTCGAAAACCGTTCCAGAATCACCGTCGAAATTTCCCATTTTGCCCGCTCCGAACTCCGGCTTCCGATATTGAAACGCGCCCAACAAATTACGGAGAGATCGTTGCGTTTTGCTTAAATAGGTTTTTTTCGCGTTTTGGGGATGGGTGAACCACGATAGAAGCAGAAGCATCGGTGTCATCGATGTTTTCATAATATCGGGGATATCGATGTTTGGCAGACCACTATTGAATTCCACCCACGAGTGTCTCAATCCAGTTTTGGCGCTCTGTAAACGATTCCACTCCAGTTCTTACCAACTCTGTTAGTTTTCACTCCAGTTATAACGCACTATTAATGATTGCTGTTTTGCCAAAATATACAAAGGACAAGTTAAGGAATTTTGGATATGGTTCTGCTTGGCTCACACCCCCGATTTTGTTCGAAGTTCCTAATCAAAGTTGGCTTAAATTTTGTTTCCAGCAAAAGAACTGTACAAAAATTGAAGATAAGTATTTGTATAATTTTTGGAAAAAAAAGAAATCTCAAAAACCCGACAAAATAATTGAACTAAAAACTAACGTTGGTGATGGAACCATTTTTATTTTGCTGCAAGGCTTAAGTTTATTGAAAGACATTGGGAAAATAGTTTTTAGTAATTAGTTTTATTTTATTCCTTGTTAACAAATAATACATAAAACTTGAAAAAACAATTCAAAGTAGTTTTAAAAGAATCAAAAAGTTCGAAGTCCAATCGAAAATACTTGGGGTATAAAATATGAAATGTATAAATTTAAAAGAAAAATTGGTGAAGAAAGGACCAGTCACGAAAGCATCATCGATGTTTTCTATATATTGGTAGTATCGATGTTTGACAGGCGTAGTTGTATTTCCACCTCTACCAAGCGAACCAAATGGTGGTTGTATTCGCTAACACCGGAGTAGGCACCGACTACCTGTGGAGTAAGTATCAGCTAGTATTGAGTCATGTGGCTGGTAGGTGTATTGACTAGCGCACAAGCAGTGTGCACTGCTTTGGCTTCGTTCAGCTGCCAAACGGCAGGTGTCGCACAACAGACTGTGTGGGAGAGTAAAAATTCAAGCACTCGGGGATTCCCTGAGCCTTCGTAGCCCTTCCCCCCCGCAATAACCATGACTGTTGGGATGAAAATGTGAATCTTTTTAGGATCTTTGTGTTCGTGTAGGAAGTAAAAATGGGAAGAAATAGCTAAAAACCATGTTTAAAACATATGCTTTTAATAATTTTTCAAAAAAACTCAGTCTTGGAATAAAAGAAAATAACCCAACATATTATTAAAACAGTCATTTCTAAGCAATGGTTTCTAGAATAAATCATCATGCTTCATATCCAGCTGACTTAAATAGTTAATTTAATTATTTCAGAACAGAATACTAGATTTAAAACTAAATTAATTGCGATTTAAAGAAACTTATATTTTTAATAAACTTATTTCGTTCATGATTTGTAGATAAAAGCTTTAATTTGAAATACTTAATTTATTGACTGATTTCGACAGATAAAGACTATTATATTCCATCATATTGTACACAATCTCTTAACTGGTAATTGCCGGGCTGACTAAAAATTTCTATATTTATACAAACGTACAATTTCAAGCTATGGTACTAAACTTTTTGAAGCTAACTTGTGTGATAAGAAATGTATAATAATAAAGTGAAACCTAAAAAAAATTTATTTTAATATATTTACTGTAATGTGAACACCAAAAAAAAAAGGCATATAATCAGGAAAACAGTGAGGCTCCAAAACCAAGCTAAGCGATAAAATAAAACCAACAAAATACAATAAAATACGAAACATTTAGTTTGCTCCTCTGAATTATGTTAGGGGTTTAAAACTATTCCAGAATGTGTGATAAACGCTTATCAACGCTTTTAAAGAGCTCTTCGAAAGTCCGCGAATAAATTCAAAATCAGTTCTTTGTGAACATTCGACTGAAGTGCAAGTTCATTCTAAAGATGCCAAGCTTAGCAAATTATTGTTTGTATGCCTTTGTTGCAGTCAGCCTGTGTGGAGTGGCCAGATCCCAGGTCAAATCCCAGGATACGTGTTCAGTATGCGTGCTAAAGGATGCCCCTACACAGTGTGGGGCCTTCGTTCATGCAGCACTTCACCCTTTGTACGAGGGCATAGCGGAGATCAAGCGGCATTTAAAAACACAACATTTGCCCAACACTTCCCAGGCAATACTAAACAGGATCAGCGACCAGCAGTCAGAAATGAAGAGGGAGATGAAACGCCAGATGACATCCTTGGAGGAAGCCTTGAGTAACAAATCTTTCGACTTTCCAGCGAGAATGGATAAAATGGAGAGGAAGCTGGAAGAGGTGCCGAAAGGTATCGAAACTGATTTAATTACCATAAAGGAGGAGTTATCCATAATCAAGGGCACCACCATACCGTCAATTGAGAGAATCGGTCAAAGAGACTTTTTAATCGCAGACCATATTCAATTACGTTGGACAGTAGCTAAAAACTTCTGTAGTCGGCAAGGAGGATTTCTAGCATCAATACAAAGCGAACAGGAGTGGATAGCCATCCTTGGGAAACTAAACCAAAATGAATTCTACTGGTTGGGCACCCACTCTCTGAAAAATCAAAGCCAGTTGCTATCTGATGCTTCCGGCGAACCAGAATCTTTTCTGAAGTTTGGTCAGAACAAACCTGCGCTAGGCGGATGCGTTGCCATAAATGATAACCTAATGGATTCTTGGGATTGTGAAAGTAATGCACATATAATTTGCCAAATAAACTAAAAGTAGTTTCACATAAGCTTTAAATGTTCTATTGTTTTTTATTTAAATACGATTGTTTGATCCTCACATTTTAAAAGTAAAATCAAAATTATTGAATATATTTTTCCAAACAAATATTGTCAATCATGATAAAATAACAATAAATAAAATCAACGGTGTTAAAGATCTTATGAAGATGATTTTGCAATTATTAGGTGTTTAAATAAACTATAAAAGCAAGAAACGACTACATCGTTCATTCTGGTACTCTTTTTTGAATAAATAAAACTACAATCAAATATAAGTATTTGCCAAAATGTTCACGGGTTTTTAAAAGGAAATTCTTTAAGTAATTAACAATTTATAACGATTATCTTGCTATTGCGATCAGAACCAAAATACTTTATATATAACAAATTTATTCAAATAATAAACGCTTGTTATCAATCTTGAAAATTCTGGACTCTCTTACTCTTTTAAAAAAATATTTCCTCGTTGTTTTGTTTCCCCATAGACTTCGAAAATTGTAAAGTATACGCACAGAAAATCTTCACCTCGCCGACACATGAATAAATGGGCTTGAAACTCAAAAAAAAAAAAAGAGAAAAACAAGATATTCAGATAAAAGTGCGTAAAGCGGCAGTTGTAGTAAAATTCATGAGATGGGAGGTGCGTTGACTTATTGCCGCAAAGGAGACAAGTCTCGGCCAGTGGATTTCGCCTCATAAATAGATCATCATTATTCCGCAGACCTTTGTTTTCTTCGTTTTTTATTGCGGAAGAATTTCGACTATTTTGTAAACTAATCTGGCATGGGCGATGACACTATTCAAGGACTTTCTGAGCACATTTTGAAAACAAAACATTGAACTCTGCTTCGATTTCGGTTTCGATTTCATTATGCACCGCATACCAAGTTGGGGTAAACAAGGAAAAAACAACTATTCGGCTTCTAATTGAGTTGGCAACTCTATGGCGGATGATGAATCTCACCCGGCTGAAGCTTATGCAAAATGCCAACACGTTCCCCGGCAAAAGCTGCACCGATCACCACATCGATATGCAAATGATTGCCAAATTGTCGCAGCCAGAGATGCCAAAAATTGCAGTTGCTACTGCTTACCAACTTCCAGTACAAAGTGGGTGCTACTGTCAGGGCTAAAGCCCTTTGAGCTGAAAGCCCAGAAAGCGGGTCACGTCGGGTTTCCATCCAGCGATTGCCAGTCGATGCCAGCGGCACCCTAAAAGCAAAAGGTTCCAGCGAAGGCAGGGGAAATTCACATACCCTTTTAAGATATTTGTCTCCATTTCAGATGATTAATAAGCTAGCGAGTATAGAATTTTCTGAAGAATATTATTAAAAAAACATAAATAATTTTTTTTAAGATATTAAGTAGAAATGTGTAGCCAATATAAGTTTCGTCTCTTGAAACTAAAATCTTCTGTTTTAAGAAACATTTTTCTTATCATTTGCTAAAAATAACAGAAAAACATTGCTTTACTAGACTATATTTATTTCAATTAAAATAAATTTATTTTACTTATTTGTTTAAAAAACTGATAACGAACAGATTTTTCTAGTATGTTAAACATATATTTTTGTATAAAAAAGATTGTTAAGCCGAATTCATTACTTTGTATATAGTATTTATTTATTGATAATTTGGTTCCCATTTTGTATAATTACAAACAGCCAAGTAAATCCCTATAGCCCATAATTTAAGATAGTTTGTCTGTGAGTTAACCAATTTCTGTCAAAGATTCTTAATGCTTATCTCGCTGATCTGATGGTGCAAATCGCTGCTTATACTTTTGAATGCCACAAATCGTGTTGCTGTCTGATATTTTGGGCTGCTAACTGCGATTGCGATTGCTGGGTGTTTGGTGTTTGGTGTTGCTGCCAGTTGTGGGTTGTTGTTGGATGCTGGATGCTGGTTGCTTGTTTGCGGTTTGCACTTTGGCTGTTAAGTTTATCGAGTGCGGAGTTCAAGTACACTCGCAGTTTATTCCTTCATCGGTCTTGATAAATATTTGACAATTGTGTAATCAAATTGGTGAACTTTTGTCTCTTACTTCACTGGGAAATCCATCAGCAACAGAGGATCACCTCTAAATCACATTCTTAAATCTTCTCTTTAGCACCATCAGTATTTATTTAATTTTTTTAAATTTTTAAGCAAGACCCTTAGTTTTCCGAAATTATCTTTTTTATTATTTTTGCTAAAAATTTGGTAGAGATTGTAAGCAACTATTCATCATTGATCTTGTATAACATGGTTTGTTATATATTAAAATGGTATTATCACTTACCTATTTATAACCACCATAACAATAATAAATTTCCTTGGTAAGCCCTCAGCCTGATCTTGTTCTACATTTTTTTGCTCTAGTCC